CGGAAAACGAGGGCTCCACGAAGGCTCCATTTGTGTCCCCGGTGCACGCGGCTGCGCGGCCCCTCTCGCTGCAACCCCCGGCCACGACATGGGCTTTGGGCCCGCACTGCTCTGCCCCGCTGCCCCCGGCCCGTCCTCGCGGCACCGGCACCAGCGCACGGTCCCGCTCTCCCAAGGAGGCTCCCTCAGACGCAGCTCCCCAGGCGCGCACAGAGCACGGGAGGACAGAAACGAGGCCACAGCAGGGCTGGGACAGTTAATTTAATTCACAGGGTGATGAGCAGGAACGCATTTCACCCAGGCAGCCAGTTCCGCGCCGGCTGCTTCCCAATTTCTCTTTCATTTTCCATCACTGTAAACACGCAGGGTCCTCTCCAGGTTAAAATGATTCTTGTTATTCTCATTAGGCTCTTAATTTTTTTGTACACAAATACTCTAGCTGCACTGTGACAACACCGCACACAACACGAACACCCAACACGAACACACCGTTGCTCCGGCAGCAGGCTGGGAAGGGCAGGGAATTATTCACATCTTGCAGAGGAGAAAAAGCAGCAGCTAGAGCTGAGACTGAGACTGAAGGCCCCTTCCAGGGAGCTGCTTGGGGCAGGGCTCACCCGCCTGCCCTCCACTGAGGACGCGATGGCCGTGACAGCGTCACAGCCACCTCCGCGCTGCCGGGGCTGCGCGGACTCTGCTCCGGTACTGCAGATCCTCTGGGAATTTACAACGTGAAAATCAACATTTTTCCTTTCCAAGTGACAGATATGTGAGATGACCATTTGCAAGATCAAGTTCTTCCCTCCTCCGTATCACCATCGTGTCAGAATTGCAATATGGGCTTCCTCCACGCTACCTACAAATAGTCCCCCATTTCATTTGCAAAGTGTTTTATTTTCCCCCACAGCTACACAAGCGTCCTCGAGCCCTGGCCAGAGCTTAGAGAAGAGCTTGGTCCCAGCAAGGGACAAGATGCTGCTTCTTCCAGATAAAACCAGTGCCCACGTGGAAGGGGGGAGGCAGAAGGGTGCCCTGGCATGCAAGGTGCCCTGTGCTCACCCTGTGTTTAAGAGAAGCAGACACAAGGTCCATAATATGTAAAACTGTCCCGCCGTAAACCCGCAGGGGGCTGCAATAAGTTATTGTGGCTACGGGGGGATCTCATGCAACTGGGACACGCGGGATGGGGCTGACCACAGGGTTTAACACTGCGCGCCCGGGGGCAGCTCTAGTCGTCGAACTTTCCTTCGCGGATGGTATCGAACGAGAACGGGAGAAACTTGAATCCAGTGCCAGTGTAGAACTTGTTTTGGAATTCAATCCTGAAAGAGAGGCAAGAGCGTACATGCATTAGTGACTGTAAAGTTATACAAAGCTTTAAAGAGAGAGAGAAAAAAAAAAAAAGAGTATTATATGTAATGCTTCTATTGACACAACAAATCCTTTTCCAATTGATGTTTCTTGAACGGAACAGAGGAAAATTCCTGGGGTGCTTTTTGCTTGTACCCCCCTGGGGGGATAAAGGCAGGAATAGGGGTAGGAACCCCCAGAAACCTGTGCAGGGCAGGGCAGCTCCCGCACCACCACGTTACTCGAGGTCAGGCTTTGGTTATAACAACCCTGAGGCCACGCTCAGACTTCCTCCCTCTCCTACTTCTGTTTATTTACTCGAGCGTCTTCGAGTGACGCTGTCTGCAGAGCCGGGGATGTGCGTTTTGTCTCAGCTTCCCCTAACGAACCAAGTTTAAAAAAAGAATAACTGCACAACAGTCCAATGGTCAGCGAGCGCCAAATAGGGAACCGAGAAAAATAATCCCAGGGTTCACAACAAAAACAAGCACAGTGTTTCCCTAAGGCTCATGAGAAACACTTTCCATTACGTGCTGTGCTAAAAAAACTAAGTCTCTGTAGGAACTGAGCAAAAACAAATCTCCCAGCAATTCTAAAACTATTCAGGATAAGCATTTGATTTTTCTGAAATGCAAAAACGCTTATTTGACTTATTTTTTTTCAAATCAGGAAGCATGTCAAGGCCCAAGCCGTTGGTATTTCAGCTGGCAAATAGTATTTTTCCAACAGAACAGGGGTGAAGCTTTCAGAAAAACAGCTTCTCCCTCGCCGGTCCTGCTGCCTGTTCCTGCAGATAAGCGCAGCGCCCGCGCAAAGGAATCCCTTGGATGAACAGGACTTTCCACGGGGGAGGAAAGGCTCCTTGCCAAGACGCTCCGTTTTTCAGGAACCCTGATAATCCCCATGAGCAGCCTGTGACTAACGCCCTCGGCGAAGGCAAGCGCGAGGGTTGGGAGGCCGAGTCACCACCGCTGCCGACGGACTGTTCCGAGCTCCTCCTGGACACAACCGCTCCCAGCGGATGCCTCGAGCTGAACAGGCGGCTGCTGCTCTGGTAGGGAACCAGTGACAAGGTTCACCAGATGCCACGAAGGGAGGTTTCCGAGCGGCTCCGTTCTGGTTCTGGGCACCGCGCGCTCCGGCAGCGCCGGCTCTCCCGGCCCGAGCTCTGCTGCAAACTCTGTAGGTGCCTCTCGTTAGTCACCAAGTTCTGCTGAAGATTTACTAGACAGTTAGCACTGCAAATAAACAGACTGGAAAGCTTTTTGGCAGTTTGCATTAAAGAAAACATACTCGTCAGATTTCGAGTTAATAATTATTTTAAGTGTTTGCTGGACACTAGATGCATGTTTTTTCCAGCCAAATAGAATCATGGAATACCCACAGTGCTTGGAAAACTGGGCAGCTCTCAGTGCCATTTGGAAGCAACTGAAGAGCCATCTGCTGAACAGAAAAGCCTAATTTTCTGTCAGTAGACTGCAAACTGCCACTTGGTGTTTGCGTTCTGAGCCCGAGGTGTCGATCCCCAAGGGAGGCAGTAATTCAGACAGCACCTTCAGCAGGGAGCCTGCGAGCCCCTCACAGCTGCAAAGTGATGGGGCAGTTTTGCAGAGATTGCTGGAGTTGCTCTTTCCCAAAAAGGACAACTGCTCCATACGTGATACTGGGGGTCGTGTCACACAACACGGCCTTTTAAAGTAGCACCGTGCTCTTATGCTCGCGTTAAAGACAAGCCTCGGGCTCCTGACCTTTACAAAGTAAAATAAATAAGATCCCAGCGCGTGGGTGGGAAGTGGGGCTCGACTCCCACCTCCGCTCCCGGATTCCCGGCAGGATGCGGCTCCAGCACACCCACGGCCCCGGGACCTGCCTGTTCCTCACGCTGCGGCTCCCTTCTCGGTTTACACCGCGCAGTTGCTGCTCTGCATTTATTCCGCGCGGGCGTTTGAGTTTTACTGCGTTTGCTGCACTTGAAATCTGCTCTGCTGTCCCTGCGCAGACCCCAGCACTGGCCGCTTGGCCGCTCCAGGGGTTGGGCGGCAGCTCCTCACCTTCGACTGCATCTCCCCTTGAGCAGGCAGGACTATTTTAGACCCATTTCACTTCCTCAGAAGGGCCGACTGCCTTATGCATTCCGCGGATGTTTAGGGATCAGTGGCAAACAGCTCGAGCACGGCACGATGAAGAAAAATCACGTCTGGGGATGCCTAAAATACAGCCAAGGCGAAGGACACGCATCTGCCAGGGAGCTGCTCGGAGCACGGGGGGAGAGAAGGGACCGCTGCATGGTCCCTTTGCTCTAGAGGCTTTTTCTAGGGAGAAAAGCTGTCAAAACCAGCTCTAAACCTACAACACTGTGTCTACAAGAAGACATCTCCACCAAAACAGCATTTCTGCATCAATTCATGATGTTAGGACCCTACTACTCTGCATTCGGTTATGAATTTCTCCTGTTGGACGACGTTTACTTTGCCCACCTTAGAACAGCCGACTAGCTTAAAATAAGATGGCGAGTTACCTTAATCTAAATAATAGTGATGTCAAACTACATTAGCGAAAGGCAAATGCCAAGATAAATTATTTTAACAACAATGATGTTACAGTCAAGAGGAATTAAAAGCACAACTCGGACTGCGGCCACGTTCCAGGGGACCTCTGATACACAAGAGCGAGATTTTGGCAGCATTTACGAGTTTTTCCTCCACCCCGTGTCACCCCACGCCAAACCCAGCCTGCTGAAGGAATGCATGTTTTCCGAAGAAGTGTAAAATAAACCCTCCCCACTTGGGAATGAGGGGCAGGCCTCATGGAAGAATCTGTTTTTCCCCCAGTAAGACACATGCTGAATTACTTCTCCTTTCCAGGAAGGCCGAGCCTCCCACACCTTTCAAATTCCACATAGGTGACTTCTCCTGCCATGGGATCCCATCTGCCGTGCCCAGGACAGCTGTATGTGCCCCCAGAGAGCACCTGCCATTGCAAACCTGCTGATTCCATGTTCTCACTAAAAAGGCAAGTTGCCAGCGTATTGTTTTGAACAACTTGAGTGCCTTGTTCTCCAGGAAAACCCAGCAAACCCCAAACAAATTCAACACGTTACAGTCTGAAGTACTGCTTTAGAGTTGCTTTTACAATCCTAAGCTTGAACCGATTCTTCTCTTAGATAACGTAAATTAAAATTTTACGAGTTCAAAACACATGTTTGGGGAAAATATGACTTCATTAAGAGCTCAGTTCTGCAGTTCCTCAGCAAGTGCCCTGCAGTTGTTTGGCCTGGCAACTGTTAGATGTGGTTACTGCTATTATTCAGCTTGGTTTCTCCGTTTCTTTGCCATTTCAGATACATGCCATTTTCCTTTACACATTTCTAAGATAGTTTAAGCTTTAAAGATGGGCTGGCAGTGTGAGAACCCCCTCTGAGAACCTCCTCTTGAACCTCCTCTTCACAGTTCAGCCAAGTGCTCTGCCAGTGGCATCCCTAAGTACAGCCTGTGCTTATGAACAGATAACTATCTTTAAGAAAAATCTCCTTGCATCTTAACCTATCCCTTTCACAAAAAGGAGAAAAAAAAGAGAAGAAAACAACACCATGAGTTCACCATGAAGAAATGGGATTCGAGGACTGCTCACCTACTGTTGTTCAGAAATGTGCCACTGGCGTTCGGGGAAGAAACATTTGGAAAACTAACCACAAATTCACAGCGGGTTGAAGCTCAGAACCCCCCGTGCAATCAGAGCAGTTCGCGCTCTGTGGCTGTTGTGCTGCGAGCAATGGCCGGGGCAGGGTTTGCAGAGCTCTCTCCTTCACACTGATGCAATCGCGAAGGCCGACGGCAGCGGCATGAGGATGTGGAAACACCGGCCAGGCGGCAAGAAGCTCTGAAGCGCCTGGTATGAGCGTTTCTAGGCTGCACGCCAGGAAACACAGAAGCGCCATCC